CACAGTTTCTAGTATAAATTTTTAATGAAAAATTCTAAGATAACAAAATGGTTAACTTGGATTAAGAAGATGTTTAGTCCCCCCCCCCTTAATGGTAAGTCTGTTTCTAAAAATAAGAAAACATTTCTATGCTCTACAGAAATCTGTTCTGAGATGATGATATCAACACGGTTCCAGTACTAGGATCACTATTAATGTACATCCATGGAATAAGTGGATTAATTATCAAATGAAAATTGTGCACATAAGAAAGAGTTTTATCCTCAAGGAATTATAATGTTTTTCTTTAAATAGTGTTTAACATAAGTAATATCAGGAATACTTTACTAGTCTATTTCTTTATTTTAAACAACAAAACGTTTCTGTAGCACTATGCCGAAAACACTTGAAAGCCACTGATGTCCAATCAGTAATGTAGTTTGTTTTAACAATAATCCAATTTTGTCCACAGTAAAAACTTTATTGGTCCCAAATAAAAACATAAATGACTACTTTTCAGTTTGTATATAAGATGCGTTTTTCAACTTTATTATCACATAATTTAATATAATTCCATAATAGCTGACACTTCACAACAGATCAGCAAATACTACAAAAATATATTTTATATACATAGTATTTTCTTATTTGTAATAAAAATCTATATCTCAAGTACCAATTACTCCTTTTGCTTCCGTTCTTCTTATTTTTGTTTTAAAGTTTTAGAAGAAAGTTATGTATGTTTTATCACATACTATCAGTATGCATCGAAAACAACTGTTATCACGAGTAAATAATTTGTTTTCCATAACTTATTACAAGTTTAACGACAAAAATTCTACAAAATCCTGTTTTGTATAAAATGTATTTCAAATGTAAAGAAAACACATTAGAAATAACTATATTATAGATCACAACAATTCATATTCAATGTCCTGTTTTTACTAACACGTTATAAATAACTATATTATAGATCACAACAATTCATATTCAATGTCCTGTTTTTACTAATGTAAACTTACGGCTTGAATAACGAGGAAGTTCTTCAGATGGTGACCTAAAAGATAAAACCAGATATGTGATCTGCTATAATTATTATCAGAATTTATTATTTAAACAATTACATACCCAGTATTTTTAGAACTACAGGAGTTAAGTATGTTTCAAAATACCAATAAGTTGTTTTCTCTAGAACAAAATTAAGTAGTGATAACAATCATAAGATGAAGTGTTTTTTTTAAATCTTTGCTGGTATTTTTTTGTTTTGTTTTAATCAAAGCACAAAGCTACACAATGGTCTTTCTCTGCTGTGTCCACCACAGATATCAAAACCCAGATTTTAGCGTATAAGTCCAGAGACTGACCGATGAAACACTGGGGGCCATTTGCTGGTAACAATTTAATCTCTTTCTATCAATCATGTATGTGCTATAAATAGAGATAATACCTAAAACCAAGGTTAAGTTCAATTTAAAAAAGAGTGACTATATCTAAATAAGAAATAAAGCAATTAATCACATCACTAACCAACAACTATATAAGTTACATCTAATAACTATAATTATTTTCCTTTTTTTTTGAGGAACGAAGAAGTACATAATCATCTTGAGGATCAAATAAAACAAACACAAAATCTGATTTAATTAACTCTTACATACACTGATAAAACGGTATATGATACCATATAAAATGTTATTCTGCACTTTTTTATGCTTGACTCACACTTTCCAATACGTTGTGAACATATTATATCATCTTAATGCTTTGAGAAGTTTACCATCACTCGTTGTTCTCAACACAAACATTAATTTCAAAACTGTACACAGAAAACAAATGTAATTTATTTGTAGTTGTAAGTTTGTCTAAATGTATTTTCCCTCAAAATTCTAAGTTAACTAAAACAATGTCTTTTTTTAACTGTTAACTGCAGAAAAAGCAACAACAAAGATTTAAAAAAATAAAGTACTTTGGAAGACTTTAAAAATTAATTGCCAAGAATAATGTAATACTACTAAATAAAGATCTGTTTTGTGCCTTTTAGTGATAGTTCTTTGTTTATACAGCTGTACACAAATAAAGCTCACAAGTCAAACCAAACTTCTAGTAGTTAACTGCAATTTAAGGTTTTTAGAAGTTAGTAATCTTACAAATCCAAAATAATCAAATATTTGCAATAAGAAAAAATACAACTACATCATTTATACATTTTTGATGTGGATTTTGAAATTATTATTTCTGAATTTACAATTACCTCAAGTACATTAAAAAATTCAGAAAGAAGAAGCAAAAAAAGTACACTGGGGTGAATTAGGTTAAAGTTTACAACTTATTGGCTGTAGCTGATGAAAAAAATTTTTGTTCTTAATTTTTTGTCTTTCCCTCATTTTCAGTTGAAGCGCCTTATAAAACAACTTATGGCTGCTAAACTGAACGATAAATGTGACAGTGAAAACTGATAGTGTAAGCAATAGTTTAGTTATGATGGGAAGAGTAATCCAAGTATAGAAAGTATGACAGAATTAATCTGTTCAACATGAAGCTACACTTTAACCCACTCGCCACGGCCATCTGTTTCTGTGCATGTCTCGAGGTTTTACTGAGTTCCATTCAACATTTAATTAAACAACTTTCTTTTCATGGTATACCAATAAATATATCATAAAAATGTAGCTAATGATCTATATTTTAATGGTACACAAGTTTTAAGTTATTACTTTTATAACGCAATATAAACAAAAATCTAGGATTTTCTCTAGTGTGAGAATTGTAACATTTTCTCTCTAGGCATCCCCTCTTCTCTAATTTATTTACCACCCCTCCAAGAAGTACAAAATTTAATTAAAGTTGCTTATTATAATATCGTCATTGCTCAGGCAATGCATAATTTTTATAGCCTTCAATCCTATTTGGTTACAGAGCCATGTAATAAACAACCAGACCCCTCCTACAATGCCCACCTGTCACATCCTCTCTTTCAGAAATTGCCAATAGTTCTCTCTGATGTTCAATGCTATATTATTTATAACCAATAGAAAGCCAAGGTTTCCATCTATTAAATCGCGTATTATATTACATTGTTTTCTGAACAGAGAATTGCCAGTTTCTCTTCTAATTCAACCTTTATTTCCACAGGAAACAGTTAATGAGTTTAGCTGAATTCCTAATGGCTCTTGTCACACAGTTAGAAAGCCAGTAAAATGACAATGGGTTGGTCTCTGGGACCGATCCCTTGTAAGAGAATTAATGGTGAATCAATATTACAAGCACACACCTTGGGCTGTACAGCTTCCACAACTTTTTACCTTCAAGCTGAAGAATAAAAGCTTCAATGTCATCATAATGAGGAGCAAATCCTTGAGTTCCAGCTGGTGTTAGGTATCTAGTGAAAAATTTGACAAAATTGGTGCTCATATGCTTGAAAAAATAATTTTATAAGCTCAGACATAAAGCTCCTCCCCAGAAGCACATACATATATTAAAACAAATTAATGAAAGCTAGTTTTTCATTTTCATTTGAACTACAATCATTACTTTTAGTTCAACAGTACTTTTCTTTGATTTTTTATTCCAAACTAATAGTATTGTGTTATCTGAACTCACTAATCTTTTAGACATGTGGTACCCAACAAGTGTCATTGCATTTTAATACTTAAAAGTTTCTGTTTTACAATCTTGCATACACCTAGTAAAAACAGGATATTAAATTAGCTATATTAATCATTAGATTAATTTTTAGTTTTGATCTATATAGGCAATTGCTTCGATCTGATTTTAACAATAATTACAAACAAAAACCTAAATTTAAACTTTAAGTTTGTATACTTTACAGAAAAAAAAAATCTTGGCACAACCTAACAAAGCAACCTAATCATCAAGTTAGTGCACTAATCTGGTTATCTACCTACTCCACTTTTGTCATCAAATCTAGCTTTCTGAAAAAGATTTGGTAACAACCAATCGAAGACTTTGGCTTACTAGGTTCAACAACAAAGGTACCACTACTGTTTTTTTTAATTTGAAACACTATAAGCTATGTAATAGGAAGCTAAATTAACAATAAACATGTACATAATAACTTCTACTTTTATATCTAGTTTGAATGATCAATGATAGTACCAAAACTGAAAACAGCATGTTAATAAAATAACCATCATAGATAATACTTACACATTGGCTCCTACAAAACTTCCAAAGTATTCTTGCAATACTGAACACAACTTCCACACTGTACGACTATATGTTTGTGGGTTTAGTAAGCGTACAGAGCAACCATTCTAAAAATAAAAATCATTAAATATTCCAATATATCCTATCATCAGTAATTCATGGCAAACAAAACTCAAAGCTTCTACATACTGACTAACCACATCCAATACCCATGTAATAGAGAGCAGAGAATTGACCCTATACCCAGCATTGACATAAAATAAAGATTAAAATATAAATTCATTTCAACAGTTGCAAAAACATACCAATGTTTTTTCTGAAGCAACCAACATAACCACTTTTCAATATTTGATTGATTTACTGTTGAATCATATAGCACAACAAAATGCTGATAAAAAGATTAATACAAATTATTATTCAAGATAAAAGTTTTTTACGTTAGATAATTAAATGTTATAAAACATTGTAACAATTCTAACAATAACCAGAAAAAATAACAATTCACTCTTAACTATCCTAAAAATAGATTTAAAAGAATAAACTTTATTTACAGCATTCTCTTCTTAAGAAATGTTTTGTTTTAAGCCCAGGCAATTAAAAAAAACTTTAATTCCTAAAATAATTCACAAATTATGCTTCACAGGAATGCCTGTATAGAAAAAGAGTCAAAACATGTTTTAGTTACTGGAGCCTTCCAGTTAATCTTGACTGACTTGACTATACCTAAACTATACAATTCAATCCAAATATGCAGTTTTAATAAATATAACAAAAGATGATAACTACAACTGTGTTTACACAAAGTTTGAATTTGTGGTAACTAAATAATCTTTTATGTATAAACACGCAAAACAATAAACTGAAACTAAGCTTTAGATAAATGATTTTTAAATCCTCTAGTCTTTATAAATATTATACAAACTAAAATGTGCATGAACTACACTGAAAAATTCAAAAACTGTAAACCTGATAGAAATCCCATACTACAGGTGCATAACATCGGCCATCTGGATTATGAGTTTCTCTTTTTCCATTAACGTAAGAAGTTATATCGATATTTTTACTGAACTGCAGGTGTTTCTGAAAATAAAGGAATTAAAAAATTTTATTCAAAGATTGAAAACTTCCTACTAAAGTTTCTATATATTTTAAATCATTTACATACTTGCTTAACTTACTTTTAATATTAACTTCTTCTTTAATCCAACACATACAGTAGTGTATTAAATATCTAACTTAATAAATTTAGAAAATTGTGGAGTAACCCTTGCTTTAAGTTTTTAAAACTTATATTTTTTACGTTGCTTGAAAAAAAAAAAACTCTCAAACATGTTCTACTTCTTTAAAAAATAATTAAACCAATAAACTCTTCTCTCCATGTTTATACTGTCTTCAGTAGTATGTTAATAGCATAAGAACTTATAACCCACTGCTTGTTACACATTGCAATATCTAGGCTGATGCTTGTACAAATCTATAAAACATTCCAACAAACACTATGGTGTGATTTTCTCTGATAATCAACTGCTCTTTCTGTTGCCACAAGTGTAATACATCATACTAAATCATCTTGGAGCCAAATATTCATACCAAAAGTGACAGTTTTTTTAAATTGATGGGGGAAAAAAAGTCTCATTCAAACACAATATCTAGAAAATAAGGGTCTGATGTGTCAGATAAGTAATCAGGGTTGCTTCACTACAATACAAACACTGAATTATCATCTATGTCTTTATCTAGAAACCATACTGAATAACTCAGTGGTTTCAAAACTGTGTCAAGACAAGTTGCTAGGGGTGTTTCAAGAGTTTCAACTCATGAAGAATAATTAAGAACATAAAAAAAAAACTCTACAAAAAATAATTGCATGAGACAGCAGGGGTGTCATGCAAATCAAGGGTTAGAGTGTCATCAGTGAAAAGTTTTAGAAACAACTGGAATAACTAAATTAAGCTGAACTTTCTTCTTCTATTTAATAATCTATGAAACTGATAACCAGGTTCAAGCTGCTTTTTACTATTTAGTTTCATGAAACTGATAAACCAGGTTCAAGCTGCTTTTTACTATTTAGTTTCATGAAACTGATAACCAGGTTCAAGCTGCTTTTTACTATTTAGTTTCATGAAACTGATTAACCAGGTTCAAGCTGCTTTTTACTATTTAGTTTCATGAAACTGATTAACCAGGTTCAAGCTGCTTTTTACTATTTAGTTTCATGAAACTGATTAACCAGGTTCAAGCTGCTTTTTACTATTTAGTTTCTCAGATGTTCTTTAACTACAGTAAGCTGAACTGTCTTCTCAGTTTTAAGTTTTCACCCATACTTATTAAATAACTTGAACTCAGGAAAGTTATCTCATGTGCTGTATAACAAAGACAAGTTATCTCCTCATTCTTAACTCACATAACACTGATTACCTAGGTTGAGCTATCTTCTCACTGTTCAGTTATCCACCATACTGACAAAATTAGTTAACTTATTGCTACTTAGTTCTGTACCATGCTAATTATGAACATTTGGAACAGATCATATAAAATCCTGACATCCTTTTCAGGTATAATACTGATCCTCATTGTCAAGAAATTAGAAATGAAAAGTTTGTAGTTATTTACATAGTAGGATTATAAAGTCTAAAAAATCAAAGCTTAAACAAATGTATATAGAGAATTCAATTTTTTCTACCTCCCGTAAAATTCGGTCCAGGTCTTTCGAACTAAAAAGATTTTTAAAATAGTCTTGATTATGTCTCTTCACTAGTAATGGTTTTTTTTCCCATAATTCACTGAAAAAAATAAAATAAAAGCATAAAAGATAAATGGAAAAACAGAATTTTAATTTAACATTAAGATCAGACATGCATAAAATTATCTTTTGTTATTCATTCTGGAAATAATACAAGCTACGGAAAAAATCAAATGCCACCCTTTTTCAAAGAGAGCTCTTTAATTTTTTTCCCCATCATATATTGGCTGTAATTAAAATAGAATAAAGAAAATACAGCTTACACCAGAATTTCCCAAACTTTTGTCTTCCACCCCCCACCTTTTATAAATGTAGTTTCTTGCATACACACCTCCCCTGTTTTTTTAAATGGGTGAAAGAATGAGTTAAGTGATAAGATATAATACATGAATACACATTAAAATGCTATTTGTGTTGTAGTAATTACTTATTATCTTCATCAATGAAAATATTAAAATTATTAATTTTGCATTATTGCACTATTGACTCTTATTTCATGTGCTCCCCCAAGACATTATTTTTGCCCTTTGAGGGCCATGCCCCACACTTTGGTTTACACTATAGGATTTTAACTAATTTATAGTGCTTTTACTTTCAATATTGAAAAATTATTTCAAATATTGTGTCATCTTTCTCAACAAACTGTATTAAACTTTGTATGTTCTAATGCTACTTTCAGAACAGATTATAACATAGAATATATAGACACACAAACTAATAGTAACTGGTGAATGTTAAAAATTAATAAGATATATAAAGTTTGCTTTCACACAGTCTAAACATGTTTTATTTAACTGATTTTCACAGTAATACACAAGGCTGATTACACAGGTCTGTGATGGTTTTATTGTTTTGAAATTTTTACATGTTCTATGATAATTCCTGTACGCTTAATCCCAAAATTATATCCATTTTGATCCATCATGTACAGATTTTTAACAAAACATCATAACACAATACATAAAAGAAAGACCACAACACGTAATTTTGAGACTAAAAGATGCAGATATCAGGATGAATGAGGATGCATATTTGTTTGACATCAATGTTCTTCCCTTCTATTCAGTTTGTTTGTATTTTTGTTAACAAAAATAATAATAAGACACGTTCGTTGTGATAAATAAAATAATAATTTGATCTAAGTAAGTTTTCTTTCTTCCCGATTTGTAAAAAATTCTTACGTGATAGAAAAAAAATTCATATTATTTTCAAAATCTTTGTAGCTGAATTATGGAAAATCCATTATTGAAACCAAAACAACTTTCATAAAGTCTAAATTTGCAGGCTTGTGTAATCAACAAGTAAACCGATGGTAGTTATTTGGTTCTTTTTATTACAGAATTTCTAAATATTTTAATGCTTTCACATGAACTGCACAGACTCGGAAATGTCTATTGGTATTTAAATGAAGATACAAATTAATTAATATCTCGCCAAACTGTCATAACAATAAATAGTGAATACTAAAATTCTCTCTCAGATCCCGATAAATCACTTCAATCTATTTATAGAGCTAAAACAAGCAACTTTAAGTCAGTTACGCAAAAGGAAAACTGTGGTTTTTAAGTTAGTAAATTCCATAAAATCTAGCTAACACTAAAACTTAGCAAACTACCAATCATATTTTACTCTCTGTCATTCTAACTGATTAAAGAAGACTACATAATATACTTACCCAAAAAACTTTGACGGTTTTACAGGTTGGATAACCCACTCAAAACATTTTTTTCCTTCACTGGCACTATTATACATGTAATGTGAAGAGTCTGAAGATGGTTCAACTAGGTTTGGTGCTATAACATACAAAAATTAATTACTGGGACTTCAAAAATACTATTTGTTACTGATAATTATTTGAATGAAAATATACGTAACTGATGACTAAGATCTTATTAAATTTATAAGTGAAAAAAGTTTTACATTTTTCTGTTACCAATCTTTTCGTGATAAGAATTTTATGGTCTAACAATAAAATATCCAAAGAACTCTCAAACATTTTTTTTTTTTCAAACGTGGTGTTTCTTCACACTGACTAGTGGCTACACAGAAAACTAAGCACACACCTTCATTAAGTAATTTGAGATAGATCACAACCTATCAAATTCTTCATTTGAACTCAGGATACATTCACATATACTTGCCACAGAACAAAACAAATTCAAAATGTCAATTGGATATAATGACAAAAATAAATCAGCTAGTGTTTTACTGTTCACTGTTCAGCAAGTTTTTTTGTATTTTACCTTCAAGTATAAAGTACATTGAATTATTTTTATTAAATATAAACTTCTGTGACTGGTAGGAATTATTATTGGATGAAACTTAACACTTGCAGTGCCCCCTAGTGTGTGTCAATTTAGAAAGAAGAAAAACAGTGAATACTAAAAAACAGCCAAAATTTACAGTTCACTATAGTTTTAGATATAATGAGTTTCTTGTCATTACTCATTAGTTTTAAAAACTATATGTCAAGCACTAACTTGTAACTCTGTTGTAACTATAATAGTCCTTTAATTGTTGCTCACAATTTTTTGCAAAGATATACACAGTGTATCTGCACATAGCTATATCCATGGGCCCAGTGTGGAGTGCATTTCTGCTGTAATGGGATGTGAAAAACAAACCCCCAGAATCACAGTTCTGGTATACACTAACCACCAGATTATGCCTGGCCCTATGAAAATAGGAATAAAAATACCAAGCTGTGTTGCATAAACAATTTGTTTAAATT